ACTATTATTTTCATTATTATCATTACTATTATTTTCATTATTATCATTACTATTATTATCATTATTATCATTACTATTATTTTAATTATTATTATTATTATTATTATTATTATTATTATTATTATTATTATTATTATTATTATTATTATTATTATTATTATTATTATTATTATTATTATTATTATTATTATTATTATTATTATTATTATTATTATTATTATTATTATTATTATTATTATTATTATTATTATTATTATTATTATTATTATTATTATTATTATTATTATTATTATTATTATTATTATTATTATTATTATTATTATTATTATTATTATTATTATTATTATTATTATTATTATTATTATTATTATTATTATTATTATTATTATTATTATTATTATTATTATTATTATTATTATTATTATTATTATTATTATTATTATTATTATTATTATTATTATTATTATTATTATTATTATTATTATTATTATTATTATTATTATTATTATTATTATTATTATTATTATTATTATTATTATTATTATTATTATTATTATTATTATTATTATTATTATTATTATTATTATTATTATTATTATTATTATTATTATTATTATTATTATTATTATTATTATTATTATTATTATTATTATTATTATTATTATTATTATTATTATTATTATTATTATTATTATTATTATTATTATTATTATTATTATTATTATTATTATTATTATTATTATTATTATTATTATTATTATTATTATTATTATTATTATTATTATTATTATTATTATTATTATTATTATTATTATTATTATTATTATTATTATTATTATTATTATTATTATTATTATTATTATTATTATTATTATTATTATTATTATTATTATTATTATTATTATTATTATTATTATTATTATTATTATTATTATTATTATTATTATTATTATTATTATTATTATTATTATTATTATTATTATTATTATTATTATTATTATTATTATTATTATTATTATTATTATTATTATTATTATTATTATTATTATTATTATTATTATTATTATTATTATTATTATTATTATTATTATTATTATTATTATTATTATTATTATTATTATTTTTTCATTATTATCATTACTATTATTTTCATTATTATCATTACTATTATTTTCATTATTATCATTACTATTATTTTCATTATTATCATTACTATTATTTTCATTATTATCATTACTATTATTTTCATTATTATCATTACTATTATTTTCATTATTATCATTACTATTATTTTCATTATTATCATTACTATTATTTTCATTATTATCATTACTATTATTTTCATTATTATCATTACTATTATTTTCATTATTATCATTACTATTATTTTCATTATTATCATTACTATTATTTTCATTATTATCATTACTATTATTTTCATTATTATCATTACTATTATTTTCATTATTATCATTACTATTATTTTCATTATTATCATTACTATTATTTTCATTATTATCATTACTATTATTTTCATTATTATCATTACTATTATTTTCATTATTATCATTACTATTATTTTCATTATTATCATTACTATTATTTTCATTATTATCATTACTATTATTTTCATTATTATCATTACTATTATTTTCATTATTATCATTACTATTATTTTCATTATTATCATTACTATTATTTTCATTATTATCATTACTATTATTTTCATTATTATCATTACTATTATTTTCATTATTATCATTACTATTATTTTCATTATTATCATTACTATTATTTTCATTATTATCATTACTATTATTTTCATTATTATCATTACTATTATTTTCATTATTATCATTACTATTATTTTAATTATTATTATTATTATTATTATTATTATTATTATTATTATTATTATTATTATTATTATTATTATTATTATTATTATTATTATTATTATTATTATTATTATTATTATTATTATTATTATTATTATTATTATTATTATTATTATTATTATTATTATTATTATTATTATTATTATTATTATTATTATTATTATTATTATTATTATTATTATGACGCCGGGCGCGGCAACGAGGGCCATCGCCCCAGCGGCCTCCGCCTTTCCTGATGGCTTCCAAGCGGCAGACGCGACAAAGAAAATGTCTTATCGCACATGAAAAAGAGTTCCGTCGGCAGCAGAGTGAAGCTGCAAATGAAAGTGCTTTGATGCGAATCTCAGAGGAGCAAAAGAGAGGGAAAGAAACTCGAAGATCATAAGCAGTGACGAAATTCTGAATCAGAAACGTGACGATTTGGCATTACGTCTATCAAAGGGCTTCGTCATCCTTGCGCTAAGCCTGAGGTCAACTCCCGGATGTCCTACCGTCGGACCCTCACCGTGCGGCGCCCAAAGGCTGCTCCTCAAAGGAGGCCTTTTGCATTACAGGATTTGCGGAAACGTGTTGGATGACCCAGAACTCTGCTTCCGGTAATA